TTTTCATCAGTAGTTCTTAAACTACTTCAGTCTAATGTATTAGTACTTTTTAGAGGTGCTAGAGCCATCTCAGAGTTTACAGATTTTAATATTTTTTTCTTCTGTGGATGCTTGGATGGAAGGACACGGTTGGCGACTTTTTAAAAATGTATTCCTGCACAAGATTCCTAATAATTCTTCTGCTTTAAAAAAAACCTGTCTCCATGGGAACAGGAACATAGCCCAGCAAAGCTATATGGTGCACTAAGCACATGTTTTGGGAAAACAAAGGAAAATTCATTGTAGGTTGATATTTTGAGTCCAGCTCAATATGTAAAGCCATTCAGCTTCTAGTATTATGTTCAAAAGGCAAAATAAAATAGATGGTACTAGTGAAGCTATTGATGCCACTACCGAATACCCTGAAGACGTGGTAGTGGTTAAGGACAAACAAAAGAAAAACTGTATTACATTTAGTACCTCTATTTGGTATCTGCCTTGAGACAAGTTTCATAAAAGTCATGGACAGATCACAGCTTTTATTTATTGCCCTTGACCTGTCCATGACTTTTACCAAAAATACCCCTGGCTAAATATTAGCCTTCATTATAATCTAGTCTGAGCATGTAACTCAAGCTATAGAATCACAGCCAGTAATTCCTGCATGAAGTCCTTAACTTCTGTTTGAACAATAGCATTTTTTGCAAATGAATTGCTTCAGAACAGAGAGCTGAAAATTAGGGTCCAAAGATCATATTTACAAACCTACATAGGTGACCTGTTTTCAATAAGTGCTGAGGACTTTTCAGAGCCCACTGAAGTAGGTACCTAAATCATGGAATTTAAACTCACTGTTTTAAGATTGGCTTCTGCTCTAAACTCCTGTTGCTCCCAAATCAGGAGAATCAACAATAATGCTGAGATTTGACCATACCCAACTATGAGAGAGAATCTGTTTTGCTCCCACCTTAGTTATGCTATGTAAAGTTTAATGTTATATATAGTGTGTAACACAGTTCGGTTCAGGTAGACCCCGCTCCTTGACATTTCATCCTTAGGTTCGTTCCAGGCACTGTATTGAGCAGTGCATTCATTCTTCTCTCCCTCAACAGACTGCATGTTTAGCATTAGCGTCCATAAATGGATCACATCTTGTTAAATATCAGAATCTTTCTTGCTTAATTCAGTGACCTCTGAATTCAACTGATGACTTCTGGGAGTAACTCAGATCCTAATTGCCTTATAAATGTCAATTAAATCTTCTGAAGATAGAAAAGCTGTTAGAACATTAGAAAGCAGTTAGACATTTAAGTGGCCTTTTTCTCATTTTAATTTTAAACATGAAACTTCTTTCATCAAAGTTTAATCTAACTTAGAGTGTTTCATTCTCAAGAGCTATCCCTGCTTAAATAATGTTCCTTGGACCACTATTAAATAGTGAAATACAAGAATTCAGACACACAATAGCTATGCAAGAGCTGAAAAGTTGCAAATTAGTCACCAGAGGTTTCGTAACAGTACACAGGCACCTTCCTGTTTTGATATAGCAGCCAACACTATCTACAGTCTGAACAATTCACAGTAAACAGTCTCTGGCACAAATCTTCCTCCTCTTTCCTGGGAAGGAGAAGGGGCAGGACCTTAGACGTGCCCTAAAACAAGAGCTGTTACTTACTGCTAACCATGAACAATGTCTACAGCTCATGGAGATCTTGTTTTTGAAGAATCAAATGGCAATGTTCGTACTACCTGTACGATTTTTTATCTTGGGAACCAAAACCTAGCTGTAGACCTGCTGTCTATGTCTTTGAAGCAGCATTTGTTTACATAGTATTACCACAGTTATAACCACTGATTTAACTTCTTTTCTGAGAACTTAACCACAGGAAGAAGACACACAAACAAATTAGAAATGCAAGTAAGTCTATGGAACACAAATTATTTATAATCCCTTTGTTTTTATCTTTCAGTTACCCTGTGTACCAGTCTGAATGCTGACTTGGTTGAAGTTGACCCCAAATAATGTTTCAAGTGAAAAAACTCTTGCTGGTTAAATTCAGTTGATTTTACTTAAGTTATTTCACATGCTGCACTTAAATCATTAAACCTTTTTAAATGCAAACGTCTTTCCAAGGTTTGAAATAAGACTTCCAGCATGTTTTTTCTAGAGTGCTTCTTGCTAAGTGGTTAAGCTCAGGGTATAACAAGTACAGAGGATGGATTTAACATTAACCTTGTATAATTTTTAATAAAATATTTTAAACATATTTTGTAACTTATGCCTGCATATATGTTGATACATATGTAAATGCCAATAAACGTACCTTGATTTTCTTCTGTGTATCTAATTAGAAATTTCTTCCTTTTAAATAGCATTAAGGAAGGATCAATAAACACAGAAGTAGCAGATTTACATAGTGCTTTATTTAAGCTGTCTGTACGAAGGAAAATAATGTGCATCCCTATCATATACGTGTAAAAATACTAAGGATGTACAGTGTACAAAAACAGTTTCTTGTAATTATTTCACATCCTTATGGGTCATATACTTAAGGAAATAAACAGTTTAAGTATGACCAACAGTAATACAGTTTCTTGGGTTCATAGTTGTCTGCTTAATATCCTTAACCACATGACTAGATCTTGCCTGGATCTAATGAAAGAACTAGCAAGATCCAGAAATGTCAAACTCTAAAGCTACAGGGAGGTAATTCAATTACCGATTTAGAGGTTCTCTTATTTAAATAAATACTTTACATTTCATGCTTGCCTGTAATGCACTACCAGGAGCAAGATAAGGAAATTCTACTGTAGAAGTACAAACAGTAGCAGCAAAGTGTGTACATTGAGGTGTAATATATAGACCCTGCAGTTAGTAAGGAAGGACCTTACTTTTGTACTCTAGGAGAAGCACATGGCTCCTGCAAGAACAGGTCAGCTTTAAGAAGCCACAAATAAAGACGACATGACATGTCAAAAGAAAAATGTAACAATACTGGAATAAATGTTTCTTTAGCAACAGGAATGTATTGAATTAGTGTGGAAAGCAAAGCTGTGTGCAAAACTGCCAAAAACAAACAAAAATGACCCATTTCCTCAAGATGGCTGCAGTAGAAGAGGGCGTACTGTATGTCATGGAAGTCCGTACAAGCTGGAGTCAAAGTCTGAAATGTACGATGATTGAAAGGCTCAAGATATCAGCTATCGACTGCTGTCCAAAGACAAGCAGAAGAGAGATAGTTGAGCCCCCATTCTCAGCACAACTTAGATTTCTCTTTTGTCTATTTCAAACATTGGTAGCAGAAGTCAGGAATTCCTAAACTACATTAAGTTAATATTAACTGTACCTGTAAACCTTGATAAAATGTCATTTTGGAGTTGGGTTATGCAATTCAGAGAGCAAGTCTTTAAAAGTTTTCAAATAATTCAGTGATATTTACTGCAAGCTACATTCCAGCTATGTAAGCAATAATGATCTAGCCACAGGGCCTGTTCTACACATGAAGAACCATCAGTCTGAAGCACAACATTGGCTTCTCATTAACTTCAGGAAATGCACAAGGTATTTATTTCTAACACAAGCTGGAAATGAGGGGGGAAATATAGGTATGTCCTGGAGATTTTTAATCACGCAGATTATAATAGGGCATCACTATTTCAGAGCAGAAATTTCTACAAAAAGGTGATTTATTTACTTTGTGCCTTTCCTCTGTTACAGGGTGATAGGATGAGATTATATGTGGTTAGCGTATATACAACCTTATTTGTTGATTATTAAAGATAAAACTTTGCTTAGGTAGAAACATAAAAAATTATCTTGAGTCTGTCTTAGCTGCCTTGCTAACATGCCCATCAACCCCTTGATAATCCTAGCACATCCACTGCCAGCAGTGATCTTCATGCTAAGATATCTAAACTTTAAACATCAAGAGGATAAGACATCATATATGAATACTTTTTTTTTCCAAAAGTCATTTGCCAAGAGATACAATGCTATCAATAATACTCTATGATATCACTGCTTATTATGGGAGCTAACAAGGTATTTAAATCATCTCAGGATTTTCTGATGTCATTTGCAAGGGCCTGTGCTCACCTGTACTGCACTTGCTGGCAGCTTTGGTATATCTTAGCACTCAAAGGCTTATTATTAAAATGATCATTAAATGAAGAAAAAAGCTAAGGCCTGTGCATACAACCTGCTAAATACAGATCTTCAGAAATGGAAAGAACATTTTTTTCAGTGTGTTATTTAGCCTGATGGTTTAAATTCAGTCAGTTATCACTGTCATAGTTAACATGCTGGGTTTCATTGCCTACTTGGTTCAGGGCAAATGTTCCCATCAGTCTGCTGTTTGCAGAATTAGTAAAGTGCTTTTCTTGTAATCATTATTGTCTCAATTATTTGAATGCATTTTCTCCATCCAAAACCAAAAATTTTGATTGTGCTATCAGACTTTTATCACCTTATATCTTTTAATCTTCAGTGGAGCACATTTTTGATCCCTGGGCATGTGGAGTTTGAATGTCCTCATCTACAGCACCAAAGAATTAAATGGCAGTATCTCGTCCACAAAAGCCCAATTCTAAGCAATATGTACAATTTCAGAGTCTTGTTAAAATTTCCAGATAGGAGGAAAAAGTGCGTAATTCTCTTCAGCTTGTACAGTCCTTCCATATATCACAAAATAAACTGCCGTAAGCCTGTTCTAAAATGTAGCAGCATTTGCAAACATAACACATACAATCCTCATCACTAAAAATAAATACTACTGCAGTATAACATGATTGCATTTTTATATATTTCAGAGTCTTGTTAAAATTTCCAGATAGGAGGAAAAAGTGCGTAATTCTCTTCAGCTTGTACAGTCCTTCCATATATCACAAAATAAACTGCCGTAAGCCTGTTCTAAAATGTAGCAGCATTTGCAAACATAACACATACAATCCTCATCACTAAAAATAAATACTACTGCAGTATAACATGATTGCATTTTTATATATA